TAAAATTTATTTATTTTTTTTTATTTTATTTTTTTAGAAAGCTTGCCGAGTTTTAGAAAAAAGTAACGATTTCATTCGACATTTCCGTTACAAATACTTGTACTTTTTCCCTAAAAAAGTAACGAAAGTACAGGTAAAAGTACTTAATTTAAAAAGTAACGAAGTACAAGTAAAGGTACGTACTTTTTACTTGTACCGGTGGTACAAGTAACGAAAGTATAAGTACTGCCATATATGGTACTTAATGATCTGACGATAAAATCTGGGCCTTTCGAAAGAAACATTTGGATTGTTAGACTCCAGACTGAAAGGAAAAAAACTTATTGACCAAAGGAACATCTTTTTATTGGTTCAGGAATCGAGAAAAGAAATTTATTAAGTATTTCGATGAAGAGAAGAGCTTGGTCTATTGTTCAGATGTGCTTGGATTGACGAGCAAATTTAATGTCATCTACGATAAAGATGAGTGGAGACTGCTATAGATTCATTCAAAAGAAGCCTCAAAGCTGTCCTTCTTCACTATGGGAGCCAGTATGCATCTGTACCAGTTGGACACTTGGAATATTTTAAAGAATGCTATGAAAATCTGGCTCTCTTTCTGGACAAAATAAAATATATCGCACACACACAGTTGAACCGGTAATTTGAAAGTTATTTCCATGCTTTTAGGTCAACCAGGTGGATTTAGAAATTTTCCCATATTTCATTTGTGAATGGGACAGCCGTGACAAGTCTCAATATTGGGTCAAAAAGAATGGTCGAAAAGAGAAAAACTTGACCCGGGCACCAAGAACGGTATTTGAAACAGCTTGAATGATCCAAAAAAAAGTATTGTTTACCTCCGCTACATTTAAATTTATGTGTAATGAAGCATTTGTCAAGGCTGTTCCAAAAGATGGTGATTGTTTCAAATACCTATGCGAAAAGTTTCCTGGTTTTTCCCAAGCCAAGTTGAAAGGGGAACCTTTATTGGTCCAGATATCCACAAACTCATGAAAGATAAAGATTTTGAGACTAACATGACAACAAAGGAAATCCAAGGGTTGCCTTCAAAGATGTCGCCAGTAAATTTCTGGGTAACTAATAGGATCCTGACTATAAAGCGATTATAATGAAAATGCTTGACAAATTTAAAACTTTGATTTGCTCCATGAGTGTGAAAATGCATTTCCTTCACTCGCATGTGGACTTTCCCCCAAAAAATTTAGGAGCAGTCAGCGAAGAATAAGGGGAAAGGTTCCATCAAGATATCAGAGATATGGAGCTTAAATATCAAGGAAGATGGGACAAGAACATGCTTGCCGACTACTGTTGGATGATAGCACGAGATAGACCAGAGATTAAGCATAAAAGAAGATCATTAAAAATAAGTTTCAGAGGAAAACGAGTATGTACTTAAGTAGAAACTTTTTTCTTTTGTTTGTTTTGTTTTTGGCTTCAAACTTACGTGTACACATATTGCTATTCTTGGTCAATTGTTAATTTTACGTGGGCTATTTTAATAAAAATAAATTAAAATGGTATGTTGGTGCTTTTCTTCTGGAAACTGATGTAAAAAGTTTAAACACAAGGAACTTATTGTTTCTCTCTCGACCAGACGTGACTTGTATGATCCGGCAATAGTATTTGTTATTTATTTTTAACCAATAAAAATTAGTCGATCACTCAAAAATCAATTTATTTTCACAAGATTAAATTTAACATGTATCAAAATGAATGAAAACGACAGTTACCAGATAGTACATGCAAAATTGTTTGAGGGAATTCTTTTCCAAATAGGATTTTAGTACAAAAATTAATAAAAATTTTTAAAAAAAGTCATACGTGGTTGGGGAAAATGAATTTTACTTTCGAAATTAGCACATCAAATAATATAAATCAACAATAACTTATCTTGTATTTTTCAAAAATTTCAATTTCGCAGACTTGTATAATTATTTATTAATTTTCATTATTTTACTTAACGACAGTCAAACAGCTTGTGACAGTATAAAATTTCTTTTAACCAGTTTTCGTATTTTTTTATTTTTCAGTAGCTTGCAAGATTATCAAGTCTCCTGAATTTCAGTTATTTAAAAACAATGTACAGATAAAACTCTTAATAGCCTTATTGAAACATCTTATTTTTGCTTATAATTGCCTCATTCAACATAGCCTTATTTAATCATCTTGTTTTTGCTTATAATTGCCTGATTTAAAATAGCCCAATTTAAACCTCTAGTTAAACTGAAATCACACATTTAAACAATTGGAAAATGCACGGCTTTACATAGCCCAAAATTCATTAACTCGCTTCTAGCCCTTCATCTTAAAATTCAACACAGCCAAATTCAAGCTGAGCAAAAATTATAGCCGGTATTGTTCTCTAGGCATACTAACTATACCTTTTTTATGGTTCACGACATAGCAAAAAAAATCATAGTCAAATTGCAATCTAGTACTGATCATTGTATGTTGGAATCAAAATTCTAATTCAGTTGGAAAAAAATATCTGCGTGCGCTTCTGCGCTTTATTTTATAATTAAAATAGTCAAATACATTAATTAAAGAACATGTTAATAGGTCCTCAGCCAATGAAGATAGAGTCATAATAATAAAAATCTGAACATAGAATTGAATGTCATTCGGGTCATTTTTACTTTACGCTTTGTGCGTTTTTCAATTACTTTATCGTTTAGCCACACTTCTTGCGATACAATTCTTAAACATTTTTCGCTATTTTTCTCTGATAATTTTATACAGTATAAAAATGTGACAAATGTGAATAAAGGATTTAAAAATATTAATTCCATTTACTTAAATAAGAAAAATATTTGCATAAATAGCGACTAGATTTAGTTTTTATTAGATAATGCAACAGAAATATTCATTTTATGAATCAAAGAGTATTTTTCGAATTTTTATTTTCCATTTTCTTTCCACCATTATTAATAAACTGAATTCCATTAATAATAATAAGCTAAGATAAGTGGCTAATTGAAAATTATAATGGGAAAATCAACATATGGAATAATAATAGAATTTACAGCGGTAATTCCGAAATAAACAATGAATTAAAAATGATGGGAATAAAAAAAAAATTCCAAGAAATGCATCTATATTTTTATGTTTCGGCTGCTTTTACGCAAACTATGAATATTTATTATAAGTTTTTAATTCTATAATGAATTGATTTTTGCTTTTTGTTTCGGTTTGTGCGTCTATGAGAGTAAATGCATAGAAATGTTATTTAATTTTGACTAAATTTAAGAAATTTTGACTACTTGCATAGGGCGATTTGATTATAGTTTTGATAAAAATTTTGGAATGAATAATCTTCGAGGCGTTTTGAAAGTTTCAAATATCCTTCAAATATTGTGTTACTTTCAAACTTTTTTTTTACATTTCTTTAACTTTGCATGGTTTAAATTAAACTAAAAGATAGTCCAATTAAACATCTTAAGGTGTTAGTGAATTTGAATCACATTATGGTTCAAAGTATATGGTTCAAAAATAAAGACAACTTCTCTCCAAAAGTACTAAACAGAAACATTTTCTATGTTTCACTACACAAAATATCAAACGTTGTTCCAACTGATCTTAGCTTTCAAACTGTGGCACTGATAGGCATTTTTTAGGCTAGAATACATGATTTTATGACTAATAAAGCTAATTTTATGACAAACGATTTTATGACCAATCAACTATGACTAATCATTTATCCAGTGTGTTTGTATAAAGACAACTATAATTAAATTATTATAGTCATTGCGGTACAATCGTTATATAACTGACTGAGTTCCACTTATTGTTGTGTCGTGAAGCTCAATCAGCATCATATTAGTGTGTAGGGGGGAGTGGGGTCAATTGAAACAGGGTACGATTGTAACACAGCAAAAATTTCGAGTGTCAGGTTCTAGATTTGGTTTCTAGGTGGCGCACAAGGTGTGTTTAATAAATCTACATGTACACCCCTGCTGGCAATCATTTTTATGTACTTTTGAAAGAGTTACATCACAAAAGATATTTTCACGCTACGTAAGTACTTTTTTTGGTATTAGAATATTATATTGTAACAAAGTAATTTTGTTTATACAAATAAAAATTATTAACCGAATATGTAAGTGGACACCTTAATTAACATTTCAATAAAAAAAATTAGTTTTGTTAATAAACTAACATTGTTTTAAGCAAATGAAGCTGAAATGCCGTCTTGGGGACGATTGTAACAATAAGTAAAGGGACGATTGTAACAGCTGAAAATAAATAATCTTATGTTTATAAACCATTATTTAACTCTTTAAGAACCACCAATAGTTTCCTGTATCACTTATACTATGTTGCATGTGCATTATTTTATTTGTCACATTTCACAGCATAAATTAAAATTTTTAACCCCTTAACGTTAAAAGTATAACCCTTTTGGTCTCTGCTCATCATTATTTTTACTCCTAAAATCAATATTAATCAATAAAAAATAATTGATCAATAAAAAATATATCACAACTATGATAATATGTATAATTAACTATGTTTTAGTTGAATTTATGAACTGTTACAATTGACCCCGTAAGTGGGGACAATTGTAACAAGTGCACGACTGTCAAAAATTGTTAATAACTAATATAATAACATTTAAAATAAGGTATTTTTTTTTTTTTCTAGTAGAGGATAGTCTACTTTACTCGTCTGTCAATTAATACTAATAATATATTGGATTTTTTATTAGTTAAAAATAGTTAAGTAAAAAATGTTACGATTGACCCCATTCTCCCCTACTAGCTAGTCTGGCAAAAAATGTGGGTGGTATTAAAGTGTTAACCAGTGATCACATTGCAACCCTTAAGATAGTAAAAATAAGCTTGATGGTATGCTGTAGCTTTGAGGTGGTAATTTATAAAGACTAATTACTTGTGTTTTTTTTATGTTATGAATCAGTATTTCTGAGTTTTTTTAATTCAAAAATGCTCAATTTAAAACCACATTTCAATAAAGTACATAACAGAAGTTTGTACACTTACCTATCTAGGCCAACAACTGTCAATGTGTAAACAGATACAGAAACGGACGCGTGTTGTACAAATTGTACAACCGGGCAAAACTCAGGTAGAAATATCCAACGACCAAGAACAAAGTCCGTGTATGTAAATGGTATGGAAAATACGGCCATAGTGACGTCTGACAGAGCCAAGTTAACTAGAAATAGTCTGATAGAGCGTCGCTTTCCTAATAGAAGTACAGCTATGGCTGCAGCGTTACCACCCAAGGAGGCTAGAGCTGTACAGCTGTAAAGAATAACAAGAAAGAGCTGTACACCTGGGCCCATAGCTTCCAAAGATGAGTAGAGCTCATCTGCATCAAGGTAGGAGAAGTTAGATACGTTGGAATCCATGTTAGAAAGTCTGAAAGTAAAACTTTTTTCAGTTTTGATAATTTTAACTTCACATAAAACCATCACAAAACTATACAAATATCAGTGTGTCTAAAACTAGTAAATATTAATATTGAAGTTCAAGAAAAGAATTGATTGCTTACGCTACATATTGTTGCTTGGAAACTGACTTTCTAAAAAATAGGTGAAGCACAATTTTTTATTTTTTGAAGGAAATATAGAAACAATTCCACGAAAAAATTTGGATTTTACCATAAATGACAAGCTTAGAAAGTGCGGTTTTCAAGCAAAAGTGAAATCTCTATTTAGGACCAATTTTGCAGTTTCAATAGATGACAAAGTTGGAGCTATTTATTATTTTTGTATCCTATCATGAACGAATTAAAAATAGCATGACATAAACTGTACTATAAACGATAAATAAATGTACTACGCCATTGAAGTGTGTTAATTTACTAATAAGAAAAGCAAGAAAAAAAACATTGAAAATAGTTTGATTGCTAAAAGATTCTTTGTTGCTATTAACAGCACTGTAATCAAATTATGGTAAAAAGCATTAGCACCATCAGTGAAGCATTCCATTTTCCGTAGCATTCCATTAAAATAAATTTTTTACTTAAAAATTTCTTTAAATACAGTGTTTCAATTTATTAATTACAGCAGTATTTAATTACAGTAAATACTGCTGTAAAAATGTTGGTAAATAGGATTTTTGATCCGTAAAGTTTTCAGATGGAAATGGTTTCAACGGCAAAATGTACTGTCACTCCAAATGCTTGTAAATTTATCGTAATTGATCCGAATTTTCTTACAGAGTGTGTAATAAACATCTTATTAATCTTGTTTTTATTTTGATGCTTCCTCTAACAATGAACCTGATTTTAAAGTTTTTAATTTGATCTTTCTCAATAGTGTTACGTTGAGTTTTGATAGTGAGATAGTTTTTTTTCTTCTCACGCTTAAATATTAATCAACTACGCATCAACTTTTTAACTTATTTCCTCCCTTCAGTTTTGAGAAAGTTTCAAAAAATATGAATTAAAATTAATAGTTTTATTAACCATTGTGTATAAGTAAGAAAAACGTTTATATACCTTTCTAAAACCTAACATAATGTATTCGAAATCTATCGTTTCAGGAAATTTTTTTACGTGTATGAATATTTCGAAATAAAATATTCAATTGAAATGATGAAATATTACTTATTATATTAACAAGCGCATTTAAAAAAGTGTAAATGTTTGACTTAAAACTTATAAAATAATTACAATATCATAGGCTAATATTTACACAAGATTATAGCACAAAAATTTTTCTAATATGATAATCAGACTTAAGAATTTAATTAGCTATAGAGAGAAACAATGCGAATGTCAAACTTATAAAATAGTTACATTGTTTGTTTAAACATGTTCGTAGAAAACTAAATAAAAGTAAAGAAAATATTTTAGGATTCTTGTAAAAATGTTTTCTCAAACAATTTAAGTTTTCATTTCTCGATAAGAGCTAATTAATTAAGAACACATTAATCTCTCCTCTCACTCTTTGCAAAGTAATAATAGAAATAACTTGAAAATGGAGAATTTATAAAATTTATTAGACAGTCAATTCAAATGTGAGCCATTTCTGAATTTTGGTACTTTAATTTTCGACGTACAAATATGATATGCAAATATATTTGTTTATTAGTCAGCTATAGTGTCACAGAAAGTGAGTTAAGTTTGAAAAAAAGAAAAAAATTGAATATTCGATTATGTAGCATTTGCTAATGCTAAAAAACGATTTTAGTGTGCATTTTTTGTTACGGCGTAGGATTACAGATATTTATAAAAGTCTGTTTTCTTCTTATAAACCCTCTTTGATCTCATCTGGGTTAGTTGTAAGAAATTTGAGAAAATAAACAAAACAAATGAATTTTAAATTATTAATGCAAAAAAATACGAAAAAATAAATTGTCTATAGGACTACAAAAGTACGTGATGAATTAAAGTGCTACGTTGTTGTATTCCAAACGCACCACCTCGAAACCGAATTTATTTTTCTGCGTGATTATTTTCAATAATATTATCTATTTCAAAATAATATTTTGTTCAAGATTTTCTAAATTAAATTGCACTTAAAATAAATTTCCAAAAAAACAATATTTTATAAATCGTAAATTGCAGAGAATTTAAAGTTAACATGCACTTTTTTTCAATTTTCGCACATTTCTACTTGAATAAATTGTTGATAATATTTGATAGCTACTCCTCCCTGCAAAATATTTCATGGCTTGGTAACCGCGAAATTACTCACAGGAAAAGAATTGTATACAATGTTTATAAGAGTAGAAAATGAAGACTTGAATTTTTGAAACTGAAAGCCCTACAGTAAATATTTACCGTAAAAAAAATAAACTTGTAGACAAAATGAGCAGTAGAGAATTGAGAATATTAGCGAAGTAATTATAGATCGGTGGAATGAGATGTTTGTGAATTGATCATCGCTGTGAGCAGAGGTGCTAAAGGAAGTAATTGTGTCGGCGATTTGATCTGTCAGTCGATCGATTGTCTGCGGTATGATTATCGAATCTTAGAAAATTCGCTAGCATTATGCGGCCAAATGCTACGAGATTCAAATAAAGATTATGTTAAATCAATAATCAATTCTTGAAGCATGTGCATCAGAAAAATAGTTAAGTTCTCCGGTCATATCCAGTCTCTAGATAAGTGTGTTAAAATGTGTAAATATGATGCTTTTGATGAATACATTCGAGCACCACTAAGTGCACGCTAGTTCAACCTCTTTTCTTCAAAAAATCCAGATTTTAAACATGTAGTTGGCATGAAAAAGAAACTTAATAATCTAGAATCCTAGGACATTGAAATTTTTTGTAATTGGATATGAATATAAGGTAAATACCAGACCAAAATATTAAATGATTGGTTGGGTAGAGTGTAAGTGGAACTAGATATGCACGTGTTCATCTTCGCATGTGAATTCCAGTATGGTTTCGTCCTAAAATAATGAGAGATATGCTTTGAAAATTACAAAAAATAATATATTAGTTTATGTTCTTTTTTTCTCTTCAAATGCAAGAAATAAAAATTATCAATAAAAATTATCAAAAAAATGTCATTTATCTAGGATATTCATCAAACAAGAATAAGAAACTAAAGCGTGCTATTTTCAAAAGTCTTAGCAAGCTTAAAAAAATTTAAAAGACGAATTTTTATTATTTTAAGTACTATGAGAAGTATTAATCGATTTTGAAATTATTATGCTAATTTCATTTTTATTAAATTGGCAACTTTTCAGCACTAAGTGCAGCAAAATTTAAAAGTTCATTTTTTTTGGCCGCCCACTTTACTCGTGGGCCCAGTTCTTAACAATAATAGTTAGTTAATGAGCCATAATGATTTTTTTTTGGTATATTGTCGATTTGATATATTGAGTATTTAAAAGTACCTAGCACTTTAAATGAAATAAATTTTGTAATATATGAAGTAAAATAAATCTTTAAATCCTATTTCGAAATGAAAACTAATTTTAAAAGCGCTAAATTAAAACTAATTTTAAATCTTTTTATATTTAACCTCTAGATGTAAGTGGTAGTGCAATTTTATTTGAATCATGTAATCAATTAATCGCATTCATCATTTCTGAGGCAATGAAACCAACTATCACTTCCAGAAAAGCATTATTCTCTATTGTTAGTATTGTTATTATTATTTTTCACGATAATAAGCATTTGTTTATTACTGTTATGAGGGTAAATCTTGAAGTCGAAGTTGAGTAAAATAATATATATATATATATATATATATATATACAGGGTGTCTCAGTTAAGCGTTTCAAAACTTCTAAGAGGGGTAGGGGGCATCCTGACGACTCGAAATCATATAGCAATGTGGGGTCGGAAATGCTTTCCTGAAGCGGTGAC